ATATATATATATATATATATGTTTCCACAAGTTAATGTATAATGCTATCAGAAGAACGATGAATGCTGAACGTAATTCTATTGAAATCTTAAAAAAGTTTCAGCAGCTACTCGCGAGAACTTTCTTTAAGAATATCCCCGACAATGCAGCAAAGTAGGAACTGTGATGCCAGCTTTAATATATCGTGTTAGAGTTGTATGAAGACTATAATCTAACTATGTGTGTTTAATTATTATCGACGAAGGTATTGCTAGCCCCCTCCCGCACGTGGACATAGACGGTAGATATTTGAGCCGGCCGGTTCATGAAACACGTAACCGAAGTTCCGTGACAACGTTCCGGCGTATTCAAAGCGTTTCCTTCTCCCGAAAGCAACGGCACTCATTATTTATGACACGACGACCATTGTTTGCGCTCTCGCGAGGAATAAAAAGCTTACATCAATGTATGACAGACGCCTTGATGTCTGGAGAGAACGTCGCGCTGCTGCCGTGCGCGGTGCATCTCTTATTGATAACTATGAAGCATGAAAGACTATTTATAACCCGGCCCAATGAAATCGCCCTACATCGAAGCGACGTCGTTCTCTTCGTCGGCGAGGCATTTAGATCCAAATGCGACGTCGATGCCGCGCGGCACGAACTTTTCTCCGTATTACAGTCTGCTGATTGACAAGATGTAAATATAGTTAGTTTCTAATCGTATTAAGCCCGAATTAATCGCTCGTAGCGTATTGTAGCCTATTGTGCGCGAAATGCACGGAATAGTTTCTCAGAAAGTTGAATCGCGCTTCTCCTCTCTCTCTCTCTTGCTCTCCCTCTCTTGATCTATTAAAGATCTTGCAAGACAGAGCTGTAAAAATAAAGCTAACTGTGCTTTTAATACTTTTAAAAAGGTACATATACTTTTAAAAAGGTTACATATTTTTTATTTAAAAATATTTTTAAAAATTTACAAACATTCGAATATATGAGTATAACAGATTTTCAATATCGTATTAATTTTCGTCGGATATATCTTTTTTTGTGCCTTTCTCACATGATTTATGCTTTCGTTGTTGGTGACCTGAATAAAATACATTGACGATCTCGAGCAGGCTCCTTGACTTTTAAATCCGTAAACAAAGGTATATAGAAAAAGAGGTTTTATTTCGTATGGCACGCACGTAATCGGACGTAATCACGAAAATCGGACGGTGCGGGAGATCTAATCGTTTTCTCAGCAGTACGAGTTGCAATTGGCTCGCACGTGAACGGGATTTACTACTTATCAAGGCGCGGCGCAACGCGGCGTAACTACTTGCTAACAGCGGCAAGCTTTACGAATTTGTTCGCTGGGAGGTGCTAGGAACGAAACAGATTGCAAAATTAATTAAAGATCGAGTATCTTCATGACAACGTGCGAATTTCTTATCGAAACGCTGCAATCGCGACGGTGGTGTAACGTCGTTCCACGGCGTTTACAGTGACTTCGAACACTAGACATTGCGTGTCCCTCGGCTCGTTCAACTCCGGCGTTTACGACCCTTTATCACGCTAACGAGGAAACGGTTTACGCTGGCATCCTAACGAACCAATTTTCTATCTGAAATATTAATGCCCGTGACATCTCGAATTGGTAATATTGAAAGAGCCTGCGGGCGCGCGGCGACATTACCATAGGCTTTCCGGCTTTCGCGTATTATTGTAGAATAAAATTATTTCCCACGTGAAATCGAATAACAACCCTTCGCTCGTTCGAGCGCATAAATTGAATCGTGCCGGCGGCATGCAACGATTTCAGGTCTCTTTTTATAGCTCTCCGTAATAGTAACGGCGAATAGCGTTTATCCGAAGTAACTAGTAAGATCGCCATCGCCTCGTAAAGTAATCACGGATGGCGGCGTAGGCAGCTGTTATCGAGATTAGGCATCTCGCAGCGAGACTAATCTCCTCTCTGTCTCTCTCTCTATTGCAGACGTGCGAAAACGAGTCTCGGCGCGTTCGCGGTGTGCATTCACTCCGGAAACTCGGGCGAAGAGCTCGACAGCATCGCTAATTAGGATCGCTCAACTTGCAAGGATGCGAAGCGTGGCCTGCGGGAAAATCACAACGTGACTTCGGTGAGTTCAATCTCTTTCTACGTTAGAAAAAAATACGCGGCCAAATGTACGTCGCGTGAAATTTCGCGATACGATCAAGTTTCGAGAAAGTCGGCGAGAGGAATCGATTCGTGCAATCTGAATATTTACTCGGGAGATCTATAAGCAAAACTCTTTTGAAAACACGTCGCGTACCAGTTTCAATCTCTCATACTCCGTACAGTCGCGTGCAACGCGGGCCTGCAACGATTTTTGAAGACGTTGCACCTGCAGCACGAGCGAACGCGTCGTCGAAAAAGGCAGCTCGGCCCGCTGGCGGCGGCGGCGGCGGCGGCGGCGGCGGCGGCGGCGGCGGAGGAGGATCACGGGGGTTCACCGGCGTGAGTGGCTCGCATCCCCTCCGAGAGAGGGTGGCTCGGCGAGGTTCTCGGCGGTCTCGCCGGAACCGTCGTACGGCTCCGACGTCGCTCGGCTCTGGCCGGCTTTATCACAGCGCCGGCGCTATTTCACCCCTTTGACGTAGCAAGATGGCGGCGACGTGTCGGAGGCGTCTCCGTTCGTACAGTGCTCGATGTCGGGCAGTCCGCGTACGTTCGCAACAACGTTCCAGCAGATTAACGCGGCGGTGGTGGCGGCGGCGGCAGAACGAGCGGCGCATCGCACGCGACCGCGGCATTGCGCTCCCATTACGCGCGTGAGAGGCACGGCACCGTCTTTCCGGTAACGTCACTGACGCACGTTACTTACCCCTCGTATACCGCGGAGCGAAGGCGAAGTGCAGCGTGCGGTTACGCGATCGACACGGAAGCGGCGTGAAGAACTGCGAGCGAGCGGTGCCCGGAGTGAGAGAGAGGGAGAGAGAAAGAGCGGTGTGTTAAGGGCTACTTGTGTGTTCGGTACGTGACATTCTTGAAGAGTTTTCGCACGAAGCCGCGTGCTTCTTCCGGTCTTCGCCGTCCCTTTATCCCCTTCTCCCTCCCTCTTCTCTCTCTCCGTTTCTCTCTCTCTCTCTCTCTCACTCTCTCTCTTTCTGCCTTGCCTTTCGCTCCAAATTTGTGCGCGACTTCCCTCCGTATTTATTTATTTTCTTTTTTTTTGTCGCTCGCTCCTATCTTCCGTTCTCGCGCCTTTCTCTCCTCTCGCCCTCTTTGTCTCTCTATCTTTCGGCCCCGGCGCTCTTTCACGGCAGACGTGGTGAAATGCGCGTGACCGGTCGCGCCTCGGAACGACGGCGACGACGTGCCTGGCGTCGTTGGTGGTGCACGCATCCCTGACGAGCACGGGAGACCCGCGACGGCGACTCGGCACATTCCCCGCAGTCCACGCTACTATGATAATAACGAGAGGCACGGCGACGGCGGCGACGGCGACGACGTCGGCACGGTGGGCGCTTCTCCTGAAGCGAGAGATGCTCGGCCGAGCTTATCACAACGTCAGCGGACAACGGCGATCAGCGACGACGGCCCCACGTAGCGACGCTATTACGACGATGTTGTCTCACGATTATGGCCGTCGCGCGGCACACGACAGCAACAGCAAGAATAGAAACACCACCGTGCCGCAGTGGATTAGCGACAACAGCAGCAGCTGCATACTAATCACATTGACGCTGCCCTATTACTATTATTACTACTATTGCCGATGTGCCAGCATCGCAGCCGCGTTGTACGCCGACGACCACGAGGACGATCTGGTAGCGCGAATCCCGAGGCAGCGGGAAGACGACGCGAACGGCATCGAGACAGCGAGCACTGACGACGATCGTCTTCTCCACCGCCAGACAGGACTACATTGTGGCGCGTGACCAAGCGCTTCACTACCACTCGCCGACACGCGCGATCACGCATAGTGCGACGATGATTAGCGCGACGGCGTACGAACGATAATCCGCGGGCCGGACACTTGAGTCGCGATTCAGCAACGACAGCGCGGTGTCATATCGACGATAATAAAACGTATAACAGTCGGCGCTCTTGGAGCGCGCGATTGATCGTCACATCGACGTCGATACACGACGGGGAGAGAAACAGTGTTACACGCGAGCGCATAGAAACTCGTGTCACGCACGGTCATCGGCCAGTGTACACACACCGGGGTTGGGAGGGCGGGGGTGGACACTCGGGTATAGAAGTGGCGAGGAGAGGACGAGAGCCAGATATCGCCGTCGATCCAGATAAGCCGTGCGAGCGCGATAAGGTACGGACGGACGCTTCACCCCCCCATCCCGGCCGTGACAGTCGACCTGTCACAGACTTTATAAACAGGCTTTTTTTCTAAGAAGTTAAGAACCATCGCAAATAAAGAAGGAAACAGAGGGAACGTTAGCGTCAGCCCATTCGCTGTGCTTACCGTGAGCTCTCGATTCGCGTGTAATTAGCGCGTACGTTGCGTACCGCTCGAGAACACGCGTTGCATACAATACACTTACATACACACAACACCCCATGCACACATACATACACACATACACACACATATATATATATATATCTATGTACGCATGCATGCACCCACGTATCTCGCGTTCGCATATTGTACGTGATAAGGGCGCACATTGAGCAAAAGCAGAAAGATAGAGAGAAAAGGAGGGAGGAAGAGAGAAAAGGAAAGAGAAGGAAACAAAAAGAACTATTAGTGTAGGCACACACAGAGGGTAGGAGCCTGTATATCGCATACGAGAGAGTGCATCTACGCATCGGCGTGTTTCATAAAGCAGCATCACTACTTTTCGTACGGATCTCTACATGCCGCATCGAGTGCATCGCACGGCCGATTAGAGACAACTCAAGAAATTGAGCCGACCAATCGTGGATCCTCCGATCATGTCGCTGCTCAGCGTAACGGGTGAGCTTTTCAACTTTTATTTATCCTTTCTCGAAACTTGTGACTTTAATCGATTTCGTCGGATTTTTGATGAGGTGGAAGATGTAGTTATCGGAATAAACAGATAAGATATTTTGCCGGTCGACTTGTAATTGCGCTGAAGATTTAACGAAGCAACCTGACCTTCGGCTTAATCCTGTTAAGTTTAAATCCTTCGGAAGGTTCAGAATTATCGTTATAAAAAATTTTGGACTTATAATTAATGATATCAATTCTATTCTGTCTTGAAATAATTATTTGCTTCACCTTTATATAACTATTAGATGTAACATCTGGTTAAAATGGAGAAAAGGATTAAAACGAGTTAAGCCCGAGAGGAAAAATTAAATCGGTACGGAAAAAAAAATCTAAATAAGTTAAACTCGAGAATGGAGACAAGATCAAAAAGTCGCACTGCCCGTGCGAGAAATGTCGTTAAAAGATTCTACATTTCGGAGCGGCGCGAAATGAGCGATATAGCGCTATTAAAGTCTCGTACGGAAAGCAGCGGCTGGCGCGAAACTGTTTCGACTTCTTTACGAGGTTTTCGTCGGAGATAAAAACTCCTTCCCGTTAGAAAAGTTCAAAGAGGATTTCCCGGCCTTTTCCGGATTTGCCTGTTACAAGAGGTAACAAAAGAAAAAAAAGCTCGGAAACTTTCGCAGACGGGGAGGGCGAGGGGGGGGGGGGATATCAATTATTGTTGCGCCATCGAGTAGGCGCGGAAGAGCGCTCGAATTAAGTGAGATGCGTGACGTAATTAGCGCTAATGAAATTTCTAATTGCGTTAATTGGAGAGGCGACCCGCGATGGCGTGCCGTTGCTTTGCAACGAGCATTAAATGTTACAAAAAAAATTCTCGTTTATATTCTTTCCCCCGCCGCCCTCCCCACCCCCTGCTATTCTCATCGGACGGGGGACGATGCAAGCGATGCACTTAATTTTCAGCGATATCATGGAGAAATTACAATGCGCCGTTTACCACTGCTGCCGTTAGATTATAATCTACCGGTAAGACTACGGTGATACCGTGCGACCGTCGCACGACATCGCAAATCGATCGGTTGCTTTTAACGTTATCGCACTCTCGTTCCCATTGTCTCGCGTCCATCGCGCCCGATTATCGACTTAGGAAGCGTGATTTATACCGACGTCTCGCGTCTCGCAATCACACACTTCGCCGCTGTGAATACGGACGTACGTAGGTACGCGGAATCGATATCGAAATGTCGCGCATTCCTGCAATTGTGTAACTTGATTTTATGATGGACGCGGGACGGTTTTATCAATCGTAACTTAATACTGCCATAGATATATTTTCTCGCTCCATGCGGAAAATATAGATGCCGGCCGGCCGAGAAATATGATCGCGCATAAAGCGATTTCGGAAGCGGAAGCTCACTGTTCCGTGAGCAGAGCCCGCACGCGCGATACTGAAATCCGACTTGACGTAGTGACGTAATCCAATGCTTGCGGAAGACCCGCCGGGAGATATATGTACAAATTTCGTGCATTTTTATGTGTATCGCGGCTCTCGCTATGTATCCTTTATATACACAGAAAAATAGTTAGACACCGCGGTATTATTTTCGTGCTTCGCGAGTAATCTGTTATTCCAATGTACATTCCGATATGAAGAATAATGACTCACTATTTCCATGACATTAGCGCTCAAAATTGCCAATAATAATTGTCACGAATTGCAATTTTCTCGCGCATCTGAATATTCATCGTTCGTAATATTCTTGTTTCAAGAGATACCGATATCTTCCACACGCTATTTGGCACACACTTCTGACAGATTTAGAATCCGGCTAAGTGACATCGCAATACCTCGCGATGCATCCATTTCCGAAGTTGTATTTCTTCAACGTACATTGTTCACGTGTGGATCTAAGTGGAGATATTTCTCCCCGACTTTTCCACTTCTTCCCATCTACGTCACGCAGACGACGGGAGTATCCGGGAGAAATAGCTGACATAAGCCGTCTCGGCGCGGAAGGGCTATTGGGGAAGAGGGAAGAGAGAGATATCGTAAACATATATCGGCTGACAATAATGAGAAATAACGTCCAGCTCCATCCCGCCGTCCTTGTCCCACGTGTATTCATAAATATATCGCCGGGACAGGCGCGTATACTTGCGTGTGTGTGCACTAGGCGGTAGGCGGCTAAGCCAGCACCTGACTCAGGTGTGCTCAGGTGCCTCCTTTCCACCGACCGGCTGTGTACATATACACGACGCGCGCCTGGCCCGTATACATCACAGATGCGCGCGCGGGCGAACGAGCGAGCGAGCGAGCGAGTGAACAGGGTTCGTCCATGACTATGAGACACGGAGAGCATAGTGCAACGGTTGACCCCGGTACGCGGGGTCATTCCCTCCTTCAGCCAACCGCCGCTCCAACCCCACTCGCCGCCCGCCACCCCCTGCACCGCGGCTCTTTTGCCGCTCCCACCCGGCTCCCTGTCCTGCCACCCTCCCTTCCCCCCCTTTCGTTCTCTGCCTTCGTCTTCCTAACCCGCTACTATCGCAACCACCACGCGATTCGTGTACGCTCTCTCGCTTTCTCTCTCACTCTCTCTCACTCTCCGTTCGTCGTTTATCCGATGAGCAACGATGTATCTACCAGGTGGTACGACCTATGTAAACTCCCGCATATATACTACCGGGCCGAGGCAGCTTGAATTTTCCCTCGCCTCGTGCGGAGATTCAAGGGACGAAGTTAAGCACGGAAAACCGGCGGCGGCCGCGCGCATCGCGGCCAATTGTTGTTCATCGAGCCTTCCCGTGCCTCTCTCGTCAACCCTACACGCCGTTTGGAAGACGAGCGGGATCACAAAGAACGCTGAGCGACGTATCGTTGGGAAAAGGCGGCAATTTACGCGCGGAAGCAGCGATCAGACTCGAGTTGCCGCGATTAAAGCGGGCTTGACGCTTTGCGCATGGTTGATTTATCTCCCCTTAGTTTTAGATTTAGTTCCTTAGGAGTTTGATTAAAGCGCCTTCGAAATTACCTCTAAAAGATAAATACGAATCCCGACGAAATACGTGTTCGCAGACGAGAGTAGACGTTCTTAAAGTGCTTGAACAGCGATTTAAAATAATAATGATGCGCTTCGACGTAAGAATGTTGATGGAGATTTAAATTCTTCCCCGGGGAGAAAAATTTGCGAACACTTTCATAATACACATAAGAAAAAGCGTCGTCGTAAGAACTACAATGATCTCGCGAGAAGCGATAACATAAAAGCGAGAGGAAGTCTGCAAAGAGCAAGAAGTGATTGAAGAGTGCCGTCACGCGAAAAAGAAACTCCCGTTCTTCAAACCCAATCCACTCAGACTCTCTTTATACTCATAATAGTCCCTCTGCTACTATTCGCAGAGAATTTGTTCTCAGCGATTTTTTTTTTCAAGTTCACCATTTGTGATATCTCGATACTCGTTGCATTCCGCGACGCCTAAAAGACAAGTGGAAGAAAAACGCTCGGACGCGCTCGTTTGCGAATGACACAAATGATTTAAGGTGTCACGAGCATCGTGGAAAAAATTGCTCCGAATTTCGAGGGGATTTTTCTTCAGCGCGATTTTTCGGCACGTTTTCGGACGCACGTGTGCGCGGCATTGTCATTGTAAATCTCCTCTCTCGTAGTATTTTCCCCGTCAGCGAAATATAATACTTTCAATGGCGACGTCTCTGGCAGAGACCTACTTTCTTTCTATCGTTCTCTCGCCGCTCGCCAGCTCGCTAACTCGCTTGTTTGCTTGTCCGCGAAGGGCTATACATTTGCCGCGCTGCGTTTCATCGCCATGATGTCGGAAATGTGTCATCGTTAATGGAGATGAAATGCTCGCAATAACGACGGCAATCCGTTCCGTTCGCGTTAACGAGCGTGCAGACGGTTATTTTCGTGCGACAATGCGCGAAGTCGCGCGCGCGCCGCGTCGCCAATTGCCGAGGCGGCATACGCCTTCGTGAAAATACGAAAAATCGAAAGGAGCTGCACTTCGGCACGTATCGCGTTTCGCGTTAGCTCTTCTTCCTCAACAATATTTTATATTTTATAATAGTGGCATTTCCATACAGAGAGTTGCGGATTTATAAAACCAATAAAATTGATTTTTCTCAATTTATTTTGCAATATTTGATAATTGAACGTTGTTTTTTTAGAGAATAGTTTTTTTTAATTCCCTCAAATAATGTTGGACTATCTTTTGCTTTCACTATTCTCTGATATTTTCAATTCGAGCTCTAAATAGCTTTTTAAAATATAATATTACGAGTTATAAATTTGAAAAAGTAGATAAAAATACACGAGTAACAGTACATCCGGCGTGTGCGAAACCGTATGCAGCTGCGGTCGCGAGGCGGGATAAAAATTTTCGTCGGTGGAAAATTCGCCGCGGAATGCTGATTTTCGCGGAAACGACGCGATGCAAAATGATCTTCCGCGTTACCGTTGCATTACCTCGCCCCTTCGATTTCCTTGAATGAGAACTTTTGGTGGGCGATTTGCGGCAGTCTGGCGCACTTTAAGTTGCACACAAGCGCGCCCGTACGTGTGTAGGTGAGTGAGTGGGAGGGTAGTTTCCTTCAGGAAAAGGAGAAGGAAACGTTATCAGGCACGGAAACCATTCCCTTCCCCTCGCCATTCGTAAACGAAGGCTGATCTTATCCACGTTCGCGAACGAGATCTTCCAAGCTTTTCCTTAAGACCGGGACCTCCTAAAACATTTGGAGCCCTCTTCGTTCATTGATAATCAGCCGGTGCGTTTTTTTTCCCCTATCTGAGTAACGAAAGTTATGATAACGGTAAATAAGGCGGGGGATAGCGACGCAGCTATTTTGAGATTCAAGCGTCAATAATTCTCAAGTTATATGATACACTTTATATATAGACTACGCGACAGGCGTTAGCGTCGGTCTAAGCACTTTAGAAGCGAAATAGGATACATAGCGTAAGAAACGTAACTTGCTCGCG